GGATGTTGTACTACTGCATGCATCGTGGCGCTAAAAGGCTAATGCTGTCGTGTTTGAAAATAACATACCACCTACCTCTACCCTAAACATAACCGATAGTGTTAACAAAAGCAAGCATGAGTTAAAAATGCATTTGCTGAAGAAACCATCCGTATTTATCTTGCTTTAAGTCTTTGAGCTCTTTTTTTAGTGGCTCGTGCAGTGCTGTACCAGGTGCGCTACCGAGCACATTTACTACGTCAGAATATGGAGCTGGTTATGTGATGCAAATGTCAAAATTATTTAGTTTACAAATCATGCACTTTGGTAAAAGTGTTTTGAAGACAACATAGTATTTTGCAAGGAACCTGTCACGAATCCGGTCTATGAACTTCCGTTCACTCACCACCAGAGGTCACCCGCTCACTACATGGACTCTCACACTACACAGACTGTTATACTACACCCTGTACTACATTTCCCATCATCCATTGCACTGACTGCACACAGCTGTAACCAATCACACGCTCACCTGAAAGCTATTACACACACTATATAACACCCACTCAGATCCTGCTCAAGTCGCCGAGTATTGTCTGCGTTTATCGCTCTCCAAGTGATAGCAGTTTGCGGAGCCATTTTCCTGTCTTAGTTTCTAGTTCATAGTTCATAGTTTAGTCTAGTCTAGTCTTGCCTTGCCTGTTTTCCTGTGTGAAGACCTTTGCCTGTGTATTACGGATTACCCCTTTTGTCTAGCTCTCTGGATTCTGTTAGTCTATCGAAGACCCACGCTTGTCCTAGGATTACTCTTTGTCTTGCCTGTGTTGTACCTGTTTGCCATTGTTTGACCCATGCCTGTTATGACACGTCTCTTAATAAAAGCATGCACATGGATCCGTTCGCTTCACGTCTCTGTCGCCCCGTAACAGAACCGTTTGTCTTTATTAATCGATAATCTGCCCCCTTTATTTGTAATTTGTATGAAAAGGAATAAAAGTTGTTGGTGTTTTACTGCCTCTAGTTTACATTTCAGCTAGAAACTGCAGTGAATTGTATGTATAAGTAGACTTTCTGTAAAAATGTATTAGCAAGTACAACTAATAATATAATATGACAACACTGATGAGATTTATCACAGCAGAACCACTTCCTTCAATACTCAATATAAGAATGCATAAATCTCTGACTGAGCTGAGGGAGACGCTCAATGAAACAGACCATAATATCTGTTAGAGTCCATAAAAGTGGCATTGTTACACTCCACAGTCATAGTAAACAGCAAACGCTGGAGGCTTTAGATTGATCTAGCACTAAAGAGATGGAGTGGCCCACAGGCACCTCAATCTATACATTTAGATAAGTTGAGAGGACAATGTGTGACAGAAGGGGAGGAATCAAACAGCTGAGTATTCAGAGTGCATGTTTAATCTCAGAATGAACCTTTTTCTTACTTTTTAATGCATATTAATGGTCTCATTGTAAATTATTTATCTGTGCACATTAAAGGGGAAAAAGTAGTCTTTGTAGTCTTTTATTTAAATGATTTTCCTTGTCACTTACATAATTTTCTCATTTAAATCCTGATTGATTCTGAAATGTGTCACATTACAGAAGTTAAATGGGTTGTGAATGCCATTTCATGTCTTTAAATGTGTGAAAATGTGATTCGCATTGTAATCAAGGTCTGATATTCATCTATTCTAATTCAACTCTTTCATATCTCTAATTGTTGCGTGCCCAATTAAAAGAAGCATTACGAAAGTCTCTTGCTCTCTTTATCCATAAATAGGAAGCGTTATTTGAAAATAAATTTTTACAAGTCTTTCACACAAAGACTATTTGAAGCTGATGCTATTCGAGTGGTACAAAGGGATATTTCAAGAGCAGTTTTAATTGCTTAGCAATCTGAATTTGGGAACTAAAAATAGACATGAGCTGGCAAATGTGCCCTTCGGTCACAGTGAGTTCAGAGGCAATTTCATCATTAAGTCTGAATCTATTCTAGGTGGTAATAAGAGGGTAAAATTTACACACTCTTTCATAAGATGTATTATTTCATCATCGATTTACACGCAAAATTGCATTTAGAATTAAATTTACAACAGATCTAAGGAAACATATTTAAATACATATTTGATCTTAAATAGATCTCAAGGGATCTCATTTGTTTTAAAACAAATGGACTTTAGATGTTGAATACAAACCACAAGATCTGCATGTATTCATAAACCAACATTTAAAAGCACAGATTAAACATGTGAAGCCTTTACACTTGGTAACTTAAAGATATTCAGAAAATAAACAGGTTAAATATCTAAATTTTCATTGTACCAAACCATCAAAGTCAACACAAAAAATTAAATGCTACAGATTATACCTATAATAGGAATAATAATAGCAGACAACTTAAAATCTGGCATTAACTATCTTAAAAATGTATTGTTGAAGTGTAGTTATGTATTGCTGCTGCATAAGTTTTCCTCAATAAGTAAATACAACTAGAAATAAAAAAACGTGATTCTACATCCAAGCCACTAGGTGTCAGTATAAAGTCCAAGATCTTTGTTTATTAAGCAGAAATGAATTATTGCAATTTTAAAGGAGACATATTATGCCCCTTTTTACAATATGTAATATAA